AAAAAAAAAAAAAAAAGACTATAAAGTCAACATTATTCATTTCTGACAGAGCTAACTAACAGTCTGTGTGTGAGTTCGTATATTAAGACTGTATCCTGGTTCCCTAGGTTATGGACTCTGGATGCATGGTTGCATTTTTCATTGCCGTTACCTGGTTTTCTCCCCTCACCTCCCACTATACCTTGCATGTGTCTTCTCTCTCTCAGAGTGAGATGATCTAAGTTCCCGTTTAGCTGCTAGCTAACAGAGAATACCTGGTTTGGGTAGCTGCTGGTGTATCTTTAAGAGATTAGTATATTATCAGTTCATCATCAAATTTTTAATGATTGCTACCTTCTGGGGATATGAAGTAAAATAAACATGATCCTTGCCCTCAAAGAGCTCAGTTTTGTAGGGGAAAGCATGTACTTCACAAATGCCAGATGCATTTGAAATCTGCTAGGGGTAGATTTAGTTTGATACAGTTAACGGTGCCAGATATTTGGCTAGTATTTATAAGTGATATGGTACCTAGTTGTAATTGAGCTCATGTTGTAGTTTGATTTGCGTCTTTCTAAGCCTACAATGCAAAGTGTGTTGAGTGGGTGCTTAAATTTAACTTAGGTTCAACTGCATAAGCATACAGGTATGTTTATTTTAAAATGTGTTACAAAAATTTAAAAAAATTTTAGGTTGGGTGCAGTGGCTCATGCCTATAATCCCAGCACTTTGGGAGGCCAAGGCAGGCGGATCACGAGGTCAGGAGTTTGAGACCAGCCTGATCAACTTGGTGAAACCCCATCTCTACTAAAAATACAAAATAAATTAGCTGGGCATGGTGGCACACATTTATAATCCCAGCTACTCAGGAGGCTGAGGCAGGAGAATCGCTTGAACCCTGGAGGCGGAAGTTGCAGTGAGCTTAGATCGCGCCACTGCACTCTAGCCCAGGCGACAGAGCGAGACTCTGTCACCGATAAAAGAAAAATAAATTAATTATCAAAGTGTTATTTGCTTATTTTAAAATAAAATCCCATAATGTTATAAAAGAGAAAGTGAAAAATTACTTGTTATTTCTCTAGCTAGAGACAACTTGTTTATGTTTGAGGTATAGCCTTTAGATTTATCTTTTTTTCTATGTACACATGTATAACTTTGTTTACATATACACATGTATATCACGTACATATGAGTTTTTGTAGCCTGCCCTTTTCACCTAACATATAGAAGCCACATAAGCAAGAACTTTGATTATATGGGTCTTTTTATGAGCATGGTAGCCCAAATTCTAGGAATTATTGCAGTTAATATTTATTTCTGCCAACTCTCTCTTCTTGAGAGAGTATCTATACTCATTTTAGGAATGATACTCAAATCCTTTGGGCTTTCTCATGGGACTTCCACTGTTAGGTGTGTGACAGTGTCAGATTCAGATACTCAGAATCTCTTCCAGGGTTTGAATGAGTTATGTAGTACATGAAATAAATGAGAAACCGTGGGCAATATATTGCTGTGACTGGTCTCAACTCCTTAGTGTATTCAGTCACCTAGCATTTACTCATGGTATTAGGATATTTATAGGACTAATGCTATACCTATCACCTTTTTGATAATTAGCTGAAATTTTTGGAACATAGCATTATTTTCTCTACCATTCTGTCTGGGACAGTCCCACTAAAATGGGCATAGTATATGCATTTATAATTTGAGTTCTCCTTGTACCTGCAGCTGGGCTTTGGAGCAGGAAAGACTTCAGCCCAACCTGTGACTTCAGGCTTCTCAGTTACTGGAGTTCCACAACCAATCCTTCCTTCCTTCCTTCCGTCTTTCTTTTCTTTTCTTTCTGTCTTTCTCTTCTCTTCTCTTCTCTTCTCTTCTCTTCTCTTCTCTTCCTTCTTTCTTTCCTTCCTTCCTTCCTTTCTCTTTCTTTCTTTCTCTCTTTCTTTTTCTTTTCTTTTCTTTTTTCTTTTCTCTCTCCTTCCTTCCTTCCTTCCTTCCTTCCTTCCTTCCTTCCTTCCTTCCTTTCTTTTTCTTTCTTGACAGAGTCTTGTTCTGTCACCCAGGCTCGAGTGAAGTGGTGTGATCTCAGCTCACTGAAACCTCCGCCTCCTGGGTTCAAGCGATTCTCCCACCTCAGCCTCCTGAGTAGCTGGGACTACAGGAGCACGCCATCATGCCTGCCCAATTTTTGTATTTTTAGTAGAAATGGGGTTTTGCCATGTTGGCCAGGCTGGTCTTGAACTCCTGGCCTCAGGTGATCTGCCTGCCTCGGCCTTCCAAATTGCTGGGATTACAGGCATGAACCACCATGCCCGGCCACAACCAATCTTTCTGCAGTTTCTCCTCAGACACTGTCTGCTTCACAGATGACCTCCCAGCATCCAACAGTTGCTCTTCAACTTGAGCGTGGTCCTAGAAATCGGAATCAGGCATTAACCAAAGCACCAGATGCCAGTCAGACTTCTAGTTTCTTACCAGTTAATCACCCTCAAACTTTGTTGAATCATTCTTCTGTCCAACATGTGAGCAGCGCACAGAATGCTGCTGGTACAGCTTAGCTCCCTTCTAATTTCACTGGGGGGCATTCAGGGGCCCATCAGCCTTCACAAAAGATATATTCAGTATCACAGCCATGCCCAGTGGTACATCAGGAGTCTCTGACTTCAGATTCTTCAATGCCACAAAGCCAGACCATGCATTTGAAAGAGTGTTGTTTCTAAGCGTCTATTCAGCAATAGTCGTTAATTTTACAACCTAAGATTTTGGCATCTCCACAGAAAAATGTTCTGCAGGATTGTATTCTACAAGAGTCTGAAGCTCTTGCAAGTCAGCAGCAGCCAAAGAGAGGTACTGAAAGTGTGATTCAGCCCCTGCAACAGCCTTCTTACTCTGTTCAACACACTTATGCAGGGCCACCTGCAGAATTATCATCCTTCCCATTGAAGGCTCCTGAGCAGCTGCCCTTTGTGATATGTCCCTAGGAACAAACTTCTTACTCATCACAGCCAACTTACCCAATTCAGGCTCTACCACATAAACAGTCTGTTTATTCACTGCCAGTCCTGGAGCATCCTCTTTACACTGTACAGCCCCTGAGATCACAGCCAGTGTATTCTATGCAGACTTCTTATCCAGTCCCAGCTGCAGTACAGCCCTTGTATTTGGCACTGAGTCACGTGCAGCCTGCTTATCTAGTACAACCTCTGCTTCAGTTACTTTTCCAGACCAGCCAGCATATGCAATCCAGGCAGCTTATTCTGTGCAACCTATGGAACAGCCCGCTTATCAGGCACTGTCTCTTGAGCATGTATCTTATTTAGGACAAACTGTTGACACCATCCAGACAACTGAACATGCAACCTTCATAACTCAGCAGTTGTATATACAATAAGCCCTCCTGATAGCAAGCGAGTACACATGGCAGACTCTGCAGATCAGAAGTTATACTCTGTGCCACCATTTGTAGCATAGACTTTTGAGCAATAAGCCTGTTTAACACAACCCCAAGGTAGTTCTTCTTCAACATTGGAACAAAGGATGTATTTAGTACCAACCTTAGATACACAGACACATTCGACTGAGCCTTTATTTAATGTCCAGCTTTCAGCAACTCCATCCCAAGCAGATGTCAGTTTTGGACACCAGCAGCTAAAAGCTCGGGCCCAGTCAACTAGCATTATATCTCAGAGGGCAATGGAAGGACAGCTTCAAAACCCTGAGCAGATGTCCTTTATTCAGCGGGCCTCTACACAGGCACAGATCCAGCCCACACATTTCTCAGCACAGCTTCCCAATCACATCTAGCACCAAGCCAGGTTTCTCACTTAGCTTTCATTCAGCAGCAGCAGCAGATGACTCATTCATCTCATAGACAAGCACAGGAAACCCATCAGTTGTCTACTCAGGAAGGTCCCACAAATCAACAGCAGTCTTTGTGTAGTCAGCGTGCTGCTCTCCAGCAGCAGGTACCTCATTCACAGGCACCTAAGCAAG